TCTAGACAGTGCCCATCCACCTGACCGTCACACAGGGGGTGGAAGACAGACAGACTCACTTATCTAGACAGTGCCCATCCACCTGACCGTCACACTGCGGGTGGAAGACAGACAGACTCACTTATCTAGATAGTGCTCATTTGGGATTCCCAGAGCTTCGCCAGGGGCTGCTTTCGCTCCTTGAGTGTCTGCAGAGATTAAAAGAAAATAATTTACATAACTTTTTATAGAAATCACTTCTAAAATTTTAGTAACCAGTTTGATGTGAACTATACTTTAAAAATATGATCCAATGAAAAGGGGAGACGTGTTTGCATTCCACTGTGCCACAGCTGAAATGCAGCAGGCGTGCAGTGACACTTGCTGAATGAGCAGAAGCGGTTTCCACACGGAGCTTCCATGACGTGCATTTACACGCCCTGATTCTTTACGTATCCCGATTCTTTGCACATCCTGATTCTTTAGGTTCCCTGATTCTTTACATACCCCGATTCTTTGCATTCTCTGATTCTTTGTATACCCCGAATCTTTACACACCCCAATTCTTTTTGTACTCCGATTCATACCCCGATTCTTTGCACACCCCGAATCTTTACATACCCTGAATTCTTTGCATGCCCTGATTCTTTGCACACCCTGAATATTTACACACCCCAATTCTTTCCACACCCTGATTCTTTGCACACCCCGATTCTCTGTGTACCCCAATTGTTTACATACCCTGATTCTTTGGTTTCACGGCATCACTTTCTTTTTCCTAAGACACAAAAACAGGAAGGTCAGGGACAAATGTCTGCAGTGTGAATAAGAGCCCATTCAGGATACGTCTTGATCATGAAAGCACATTTCCAGGTTTTCAGAATGTCTGCTGGCTGGGCGCGGTGGCTCACGCCTGTACTCCCAGCACTTTGGAAGGCCAAAGTGACTGGACTACTTGAGCTCAGGAGTTCGAGACCAGTCTGGGCAACATGGCAAAACCCTGTCTCTACAAAAATTACGAAACTTAGCCAGGTGTAGTGGCACACCCTGTAGTCCCAGCTATTCAGGAAGCTGGGCGGGGAGGATCACCTGAGCCTGGGAGGTGGAGGTTGCAGTGAGCTGAGATCACACCACTGCACTCCAGTCTGGGCGACACAGCAAGACCCTGTCTCGGGGAAAAAAAAAAAGGAATTTCTATCAAAAAATAACTAAACTTTTGGAAAGAGGAATCAATACTCTGTCTTCAAAAGAGGCAGGGATACTCCCTCTCCCCTTCTCTCGTAAGCCCCTCCCCTTGGGCCCTCAGCCTTGCCACTCTGTGGAAATAGCTTTTTGGTGGCCACACATCTCTTCCATGTGGCCTCCCAGCAGCTTGTGACGCACTTGGGCGCCCTTCTCAGTCAGGCTCACAGGATACCCCACAAGCCTGCTTTCCTCTAGCCTCTCCCACGGATGCACACTGGCTGCCTCTCTAGCAACCTCTTGCCCAAAAGGTAACTAAAATATTTCCACCAGCCAGTCATGGTGGCTCATGCCTATAATCCCAGCACTTTGGGAGGCCAAGGCAGGTGGATCACAAGGTCAGGAGTTCAAGGCCAGCCTGGCCAACATGGTGAAACTCCAGCTCTACCAAAAATACAAAATTAGCTGGATGTGGTGGCCTGTGCCTGCAGTCCCAGCTACTCGGGGCGCTCAGGCAGGAGAATCACTTCAACCTGGGAGGCGGACAGTGCAGTGAGCCAAGATCACGCCACTGCACTTCAGACTGGTTACAGAGTGAGACTCTGTCTCAAAAAAAAAA